CAAGAAGTAAGGATGACTATGGCTATTAACACTTCTGTGCATTAACCTCTTCACTGACTATGACCTGTCCATCTTGGAGCACTAAATAATTGTGTAGAAATATTTCCCTATTTAAGGGCATGGGATGGACAGAAGAAGCTTATTTTAAATATGGACTAGGGTCAGTCTGATTTTATGAATATGTATAATACACCTGAGTGTGAGGGTCAATTTCCAGCTCTGCTATTGCTTTGTTCGGGCTCTGTCTAAGCTGTTGAGCCTTAGAATGGCTCAGAAAGGCCCTGGCTCCATCCTGGGACAACAACCAGTCCCATGTCTGGGTTTGCTTGGAAAGGAAATGTATATGTGTGGGTCAGATGTGAGCCACAGCATCCTCTGACCTTGTGCCTTTTCCTACTGGGAAATCCAGACATGGCGTATGAGCTAAGACTGTTGTCAGGTCATTTGCACCACAATTTTTTGTGATCTTAATTTTTCCAGGTGCTTAAGAAGCTATGTGCAAGGTAAAACATGACTTTGGACTCACAAAAGTTCGGCTAATCCACAGACTGCTCAATTTGGTGTTCTAGAATTGGTTGTCAATTTTGAAATTGCTTTAAACTCTGAGCTACTCAGTCCCCCATGAAACACTGCATTCAAAGTGAGAATCATAAAGTTTTCTACTTCCAACAAGTTATCTGCAGGCACCTCACCCTCTAGATTTATGTGCTTCATTGAAAATTGAGTTCTAGATGATTAATCCACTTACTGTGAACATTAGTAGAACTTATCAACAGAGCTTGGCTGGTGGTCCTGTCAACTAGACAAGCTGAGAGATGGAATCTCTACTGTCTGAACATGTGATGCTGACACACAAGAACAAAATTGGGTGCACACTGCCTTCAGACTGTGAGCAGAGGGAATCAGCAGCCTGCTGAGAGCTTTAACCGCTTAATGAGGAATGCTCTACGTGCTGTATATTACATACTGAACATATTTGTAACTTTTAACTGCTCTCTTCTGGCAGAAATGGACTGAACTTTTTATTAATTCAATTTGTGTTAATTGCAATTTCAAAAATGGTTGCCGCTTCTCTTTCCCTGGCTAGCTGATGGCAAGGGACTAATAAAACAAAAAGCATGATACAACAAATGGTGGCCCCAGAGTGTGTCTGCAACCATTCTGTCACTTATCACAATGGTTCCTTCAGGAAAAAAAAAGAAAATCTAAATGAAGAAAGTTAATTTTTTAAAAACATCCATTGAAACATACAAAAAGCAATTACTTTTAAAAAAACCAAAAAAACCAACCCTTTTTAAGAAATGAAGAAAAGATCATGATTGAATATTGATGAATATCAATGATGTCAATATCAATGGCTGAATATCACTTGAATATTATTTGAAAATTTTTTTCCAGCTTTTTTTTTAAGACTCTCAAAAATTGCCTTAGGGCTGCAATCTTTGGTCTGAAAAAGGGGGTGAATAAGATGTTTTGCTCTATACCAAGGCTGAGCTTGTCTTGCAACTAGTCAAAACCAAAGTTTTCAAAACTTCTCACAGTAAAAGGTTGCTAATGATTCAAACAGAAAATTGTCTCTTGCTGTAACCTTTCTGAAATAATGATCAGGCTAACTCCTTTTAGATTTTTGTGCTTCATAAAAGTAAAAAGGAAACAAACAGAAAGTTTGCAGGACTGAGGAATAGGGCTTGGTTGGTCACATCCACCAGAGAATCGATGAGTTCGAATCTGTTCTGTCTTTTTCTGAAATGTTGTGCTTGCCCACATGACAAAAATTTATGTATTTTAGAGGCTAATTAGTTTAGAGAAGCTGGAATTAGGATGAAGAAGAAGGAAAGCATAAAATGTGGCTAGCACATGACTTCATTGCAGTTGTGTATGAAAAGCTTTTCAACACATTGCCTGATATGTAACGTAATACTAACAAAGCACCTTTATTAAATAAGGTTAATTCCTAAGCATTTTTTGTTTGACTGATAGAATGTTCCTGCTTGCATTGGTCTTTGCATTTGCTTCTTGCATGTTCTCTGAATCCTCTGATTTTTGCAATAACTTTGTAGGTCTCCTCTTTGTGAGGCTTCATCTTGCTAGGTGCTGTGCAAGCTCTGTCCCGATCCAAGGAGCTGGCAGTTTAAGACCAAATGCAATGAGAGATAAAAGGAATGTGTGTCTTTGCTCAAAATCAGTGATGGCATGCATATGCATAGCAAAATGTGTACATCTTATTGTTTTACATTTCTATGAAAGCTTTTTGCAGGGTTACCAAGAAATCTGTCACCAGATTGATAGTGTTTTCTTGTCTTTGTTCTAACCTCTGAAACATGATTGTCTTTAGGAAAGATTTTGGGCATGACTGAATGTCTTCTTCCTTTAGGAATAATAAAACACTGAATGTAGGTGCACAGCTAAAAATTTCAGTCTGCCTTACCAAGTCCAATGTCAGTGCAGTGTCAATGTTAAGCAAAGCAGTAATAAATAGCTTGTCAGGCAGTTCTACCTATAGTTATTCTCTTGGTATTTTTAGAAGGTTTCTGAACCTGAATGGACTCTGAAATACAGTCCAGAAAAAGTGGTAATTATTTACATACTGTTGGGTTCATTGCACTGCTTAATGCACAGTTAATCCTTGTTATATCTGAGTTGTTGGTAAATTATTTAGTTGTTGGTAAATCTTACTTTGGTTAGCTGAATGTAGTTTTCTTTTATTTTCAGACAAAAAAAAAAAAAAAAATCACTGTTGTCTGAAATCACCAGTGTTGCTGTTGAAAAAGTTGCCTAGTATTTTGTCTGTCAAAAGTTCCCTCCCAAATTACAAACTACAGTGCTGACCTAGCTTCAGTGACAGCCTCCAAAGATTTGTTTGCTTTTTCCGTCCTTGACTATGTAGAACCATTCTGGAGGATGCTCTAGGAGATCACCCAAGGGTCATTCTTAGCCCAGCAGCGACTTAGAGTCTGATACATTCTCTATCCTTCTTGTGGAGAAGTTTTGCAAAGATCTGCTGAGATTAGTTCACTTAGGTTTTATAAATGTGGTTGTATTTGCTGACTCTAATTGTTTCACACAAGACTGAGGCTCTTTTGTGTATGTTGGTGTCAGGTGCTGTGAGCTATGAGCATGCAGCAGTTTTGTAGTTAAGGCAAAGGCAGAAAAGCCTGTTCAGTAAAAATCAGAGAGTGTAAGATTGCTAGCTTAGCTTGTGGCTAGAAGTCCGGACTGGATGATAAGTGTTCAGTTCAGTCTCTGAGTCAGTACTTTTTGAAAAGTAACAGATTTAGAGTGTTTGCAATTGTAGGGCATGGTGTAATAACTTTTCTTTCCTTGACTGGGGAAAGGAAGCCATAAATAACCTGCAAATATCTGATATAGGTAGTTATATGGGATTTTTCATAGATCCATCTCATGAATCTGAATGTAATAAATTTGCCAGACCTGCACTGCAAATTTAAGCTTGTTTCCAGAATAAAAGGAATTCTCTTTACAGGTTGTGGAGACAATATTTTATTGTCTAACAAGTGTTCCGTGTTAGAAAAATACCAGCATTCAGTATTGTATGAGCCCAAATAAGTTCCTGTGGCACAAAACACTAAATATGAATGCTAATACTAAATTCAGTCATTGATATTTAAAGTACACAAAACTACTTTTTCCACAATGGTGTATCCTGGATTAAAGTGGCTTATTGCTGTTATTTTTTCTGCCTTGAACTAGAATTTTTCCAGTGGCATTCAGTGTGGCAACTAGATACCACATATTTTTAACCTGTTTAGGCATCTTTTTGCTCCTTGGGCCCCTAATACTTTCAAAAATCTTCATGTTTCCGAAAGGCTTTTTTCCCCCAGGATAATATTGGATATAAAATGTTTATTAAGACGCAAATTCAAAATAAAAGCTATTCTTATTTAAGTAGCACACCACTGCTGTTTGAATGCTAGCTAATATGGTTGTAATGTCATTGAAAAGGAGTTGACTATTGTAGCAAAGGAGCAGCTGACCTCAAAACACCTTTTCATTTTGTGTATATTCCTCAGTGTATTTTGTGTATATTCCTAAGAAAATCTATCTCCTGCTCTAGCTGTTTCGCTCAGTGTTAATTTTTGAGATCCTGTCCTGGATGATCTCTGTTATTCAATGCTTGACTGTGATGGCTGAGTTGAAGATCAGTCAGTCTGTACTTTTTAAGTCCTAAATAACCTTTTGTGATGGCTGTTTTCAGGGAATTTACCTGTATTTTATCAATTCATGTGCCTCTACTAGAACTGAATTTGTATTTCCCTTTTTGTTTGGATTGCCCTGAATTTGTAACCTGGTTAGCAGGATTGTGGATCCTAAGAATGGGACAAAGCTCTGCCACCGTAGTGTGTGAGGTTCTGCAAGGCTTACTTTTAGTGCTGCCCGAGAGAATCAGTGATGGATGACTACAAACATGGCTATGCAACCAACTCTACCTGTAACACAGAAGGCATTTCCTATCAGTAAATATCCTGTATTTGTAATCATTGAAAATCTAAAGGAAACTTAGAGTTTGGATATGCTCCTAGATCCCTGGGAGGTGCTGTTCAGGACAGGTGTGAGTTCTGAACCATAATCTCAAGACTGTTAGGGTGAGCCCACACATTCCACTGTGTGAGAGCTGGACATGTGTAAGTACTGCTGTGGTTGGTGTGTACAGGGACTGCTTGAAAGGAACCTTGACCACTGAATCAAATTCAGACAGTTTAGTACAGATTAAAGAATTCATTGCCACTTTCCTAATGAGTTGCATTTTGTCATGATTGACAAAATCCCTTGCCAAGACTTTTCCTGCTCCTGGACTCCTAACCTGTGTGTGAGAGCTGTCTGCTGCTCTTCTCTGGCCTAGGTGGAAATTTTTATGTGTATGAATTTGTCAGCCATTTGGGGAAGAATGAGTAAAAGTTTTACTATAAACGCAGACATCATTTGTATTAATATGAAGACCTGTGTGGTTCTGATGTCTCTTTTATCTCTTTGTGTTTCAGTTCATCGCTTTTGCCTCTTTATTCTTCATCTTAGTTTCAATCACAACCTTCTGCCTGGAAACACATGAGGCTTTCAACACTATTATAAACAAAACTGAGCAGGTCATCAACGGGACAGAAGCTGTGTTACAGTATGAGATTGAGACAGATCCTGCACTGACATACGTGGAAGGAGTCTGCGTGGTATGGTTTACATTTGAATTTTTAGTACGTGTTATTTTTTCTCCCAACAAACTTGAATTCATCAAAAACCTCTTGAATATCATTGACTTTGTGGCCATCCTGCCCTTTTATCTAGAAGTGGGCCTGAGTGGGCTCTCCTCCAAAGCTGCTAAGGACGTGCTTGGTTTCCTCAGGGTGGTAAGGTTCGTCAGGATCCTCCGGATTTTCAAGCTCACCCGGCACTTCGTGGGCCTCAGGGTGCTGGGCCACACTCTGCGAGCCAGCACCAATGAATTTCTGCTGCTGATAATATTCCTGGCACTTGGTGTTTTGATATTTGCCACTATGATCTACTACGCAGAGCGGGTGGGAGCCCAGCCTAATGACCCGTCAGCGAGTGAACACACACAGTTCAAAAACATCCCTATCGGCTTCTGGTGGGCTGTAGTCACCATGACCACCCTGGGTTATGGGGATATGTATCCACGGACTTGGTCAGGCATGCTGGTGGGAGCCCTGTGTGCACTGGCGGGAGTGCTCACCATAGCCATGCCCGTGCCTGTGATAGTTAACAATTTTGGGATGTACTACTCCCTGGCCATGGCAAAGCAGAAACTGCCAAGGAAGCGAAAGAAGCACATCCCTCCTGCTCCTCAAGCCAGCTCACCCACCTTCTGCAAGACAGACTTGAACATGGCCTGCAATAGCACACAGGGAGACATCTGCCTGGGCAAGGACAACCAGCTGATGGAACACAACAGATCATCAGGTAGGACCCCACTGGAAATGCATGTCCTCTGAAAACACTTTATAGACCAGTATGTTTGGTAGGGGTCAGAAAGCAGCCAGTCTTTCTGCCAGGAGAAGATGTAGCTCCCACCCTTCTCCCCTCCAACATTTGCGTGTGTCAGTCTCATAGAGGACAAAAATAGGTATAGTGATGTTCCCAAACCTCTATGTAGCTGGTCTATACAGTTTTGCTTGCTCTGTTGAGAATGCTTTCCTGCTGATGATATCAACCTTTTCTTTTGCCTGTTGTTTGTTGCGTTGTATGGATGTTTCTTGTTTTTCTGCATGACTGTGACTATTTGAGCAGCCACCGTGTCCCACCCTGTTGGACTCCATGGTGTTTTGCCTCAGTGTCTGTCTCTTGTGTCAGCTTTGCCTGTGCCACATCGTGGCCTGTTAAGCAAGATCCTACAAAGAAGCAGTCATTTAAAAGGAGCAGGTGCTTTACATCCAAAGCCCAGCACTCAAAGGAAATAGGAAGAAATTTTCTTTCTAGTTTTCTTTCCATTTGGCATTCTGCTTCCCTGGCTAAAAGAATCTCCTTCATCTGTGTTAGATGAGACATTGCATGATATTTACTATTCATTAAATTATACTAGCATAGCTGATGTAAATCTTGTCAAGAAAAAAGAAAATGACAGCCCTTAGCACCATCATTGCTATTACAGTTGATTTTTGTGATTTCTATTACCTTATTTGTTAGATTTCCAAATGATGAATAAGGAGTATTTTGTGCTTTACTCAATGAAATTGCATATCAAATGACAGCCTCAGTCCCTCCAAGCCATTGCTCCATGTTCCAAATCTGTTGCAATTAAAGAGTAAATTTTACATCTCAGTATAATTAAAGAGTTTAGCAGCAAGAATATTTTTTTTTTGTTTCTTAAGTGTATTTATTCTTAAGCCAAACACAATCTATTTAAAAGCTCACATACCAGTCATGAGACTCCAGCTGTAAAGCTGCTAAAGAATAATAAGAGGAAAACCACTCATGACTGGTGTAATTCAGTAATTGAAATATAGATTTTAAAAAGAAGAGTCTGGAAAATCCATCTCTGAACAATATCCTTCTTCGGTCTGTTGCTCTGTTACTGAATAGCTTTATTTTCAAAGAAGCTCGGTTTCACTCTCCGAGTTACTGTTCACAAATTAATACAGTTTTTTGAACATCTTAAATGTATTTAAAAGGATGGAAATGCTTGAAAAGACTCTGACTGACAGTAAAATGTAGTTAGGTTTTCAGTGCTTTGACTGATACCCACTTTGAGATAGCATCTTTAAATTGTGGACGATAACAGCTTTTTCATGCCATCAGGTTCTACCAAAGGTATTCTGAGTGGAGATGGCTCAGTGTGATCACTATGTCTCTCACTAAGAGACACTTTTTTTTTTTGGTGTCTACAGCTTATTTACAAGGGGTTGTAATCCTTGAAGTTAGAGAGAAAGCAGACATGCAAGAAGGAGCCATTTTAAGGTGTTATCTTCCTTTTCAGTAGTGCCACTGCTTACATCACACACTGTAGCTTTGTTTCTGGTAGAGAATGTTATTAGAGTCACTATGAATTATGTGCAAAACTTCAAGGCTGAATTCTGCCCTTTGCATTCCCAGTTCAGCAAAAAAACATGCTCAGGTCTATATGCAAAGGTAAAGCTGAAATTATGTGCTGTAATGAGAAAAGATTTTTTTTTCCTGAAGTGTTGCCAAAGTGAATTTGGAATGGTAGATAATTTTAAAAGAGAGTCCTTTGGGAGTGACAAATCAGGAGAGGTACAAGTTTTGCCATTTGACAAAATAAAGTAAAGAGACCAAGACAGCATTTAAAGTTGGGTACTTATGATGACAAGCAGTGCAAGTGTAATAAACATGGAAATGAAAGCTAAGTGTGTTAATAAACAGTGTACAGTGCCAAATATTGAAAATATAATCCTCCTGGGTGAGGGCTTGTCTTTAAAACATTAAACTATATATTCTAAACAAAAATGCCTAACACAACCTCTTCTTTAGCAAAAATGATAGCCAAAATAGTAAATAAGTGTTTGAAATATCCAAGGCTGACTGTATTCTGACAAGTTACAGTCCAGAGTAGGTGAATAACTGAGCCTTGGTTTGACTATTTCTTAGTTCATGTTAGTTTAATCTAATTTTATGCAATTTTTAGAATAAGAACAGAAAAGTTGAAAGATCATTTATTCTTGAACAAAACGTATATCTTTTGCCATTTTGTACTGATTAATGATGAATTGCAATCTTGTTTTCTTCTAATGATTTACTTTATATCTACTTTTTGAGTGATGGGAATATCTGGCATTCAGCGTAAGCTCTTTGTGATGTCTCATTTCCTCATTCATTATTGTCTGTAAATGGGCATGGTGCTTTAACCAGTGTTATCAGGTGAAGACAGTGCAGGAAGTGAGCAGCCACTCTCACCTGGTGAAAGGCTCCCTCCCATCAGACGTTCTAGTACAAGAGACAAAAACAGAAGAGGGGGAACATGTTTCCTACTGACAACAGGTGATTACACGTGTGCTACTGATGGAGGGATCAGGAAAGGTATGGACTTCTTTCATTAGATCATAAAAGGTTACTCAGCAATGTGCTTGTGAAAAACAATCTTAGAGTAAAATGATGTGCACAATGCTCTAAGAGGAAAGACTGTACTCACAATGTACCTTTTTTTCCTTTACTCCTAGTCATTCTTTTCCTTTTAGAAACACTCATCCCCTTTAGTCTTCAAAAAATGTGCTTGATGTTGGACCTTCATTTCACTTGTGTCTTCATTTGTCCATAATCTCTAGTGGAAAAGCGTGCAATTCAGACCTTGCTCATTCAACCACTCATCACTCAATATAACTTGTCATTCTAAAAGACAAATTAATCATATTATAACTGTGGTCCTCTCTTAATAAAATTGACAGCTGAATACACTTTAAAGGTTGACATGTCAGAAGTAAGCAACATTTCTGAACACAAAAAGGCATATCCTGAGATGCTATTTAGATTTCTTTCAAACAAAATTTTGAGCCTATAATGCCAAAAAATATTTTTATTCCTTGGCAGTACACCACTGATACTAAAAGATTACCGTCTACCCCAGCCGTAATTCAGCTATGTAGTAAAACAATGCTTGACCTTGAAAGGTGTTAAAAATGCCTTTCTCGTTATTTAGCCTCCTCATATCTGATTACTTGCTTCTCAGTAGGATGGGAGTGCCCAGGTGGAGTTTGCAAAACTGTTTCGTGCTTGTATCTCCCACATGACTGATTGTTTCTACCCCAGTAGGCCTCATCTGCCTGTGGCTGCAAACCTAGCATCAGGAAACAGCCCTAAGATCAGCATGCCTGTGGTAGTCTTCCCATTTCCTTAGATAGGAACTGCTTTTGTTTCTTAGCAAATTATATTCCTCTGACTTGTAACATTCAGACAGATTTTGCATTCCTGAGTGAAGTGTAGTTGTTCACCTCAGAGATCATCTGAAGTAGCCACGTGGCACTGGACAAATATTTTTGCCCAAGATTTTTCTGCCTTTTTTTTTTTTTAATTTTTTTTTTTTTCAAACTTTCTTGGTGTGTAGCAAACATAGCTGTCCCAGCAGCCATATATCTAAAGGAATTCTCTTGGGTTGTTCTGCCAATGCTCTTTTTGCACTTCAAAGCATAAGCTCAGTAGGCTAAACCTGTGAAGGCAGATATGCAACCAGTTCCACGTGTATGGCACTTGTGGAGTATGACTCTATGTTCGGGCATTTTACGTACTCCTGTATATAAGGTTTAGCTTAAATGAAAAATCATTGCAGGCATGTTTTTGCACAAATTTACTGGCATTTTTCACTGAGCATATATTTCACTGTCTTCTCAACAACTAGGATTATTTAAAATATCTCTAATGCTAAGAGTCTTTGAGGAGGTCAAGAACATCTGGATAAGGTAGAGTACCATGGCATCTTGCATGATCAGCTTTTTGACTTCACTCAGCAAGTTATGGTGGTAACCATGATTAGAGCAGATCAGAAATAATAAAAGAAGTTACCCATCAGCTACGAAAGACATATTTATATAACAGTAAAGCCTATTTTATCCTGGAACATTTTGATTTGTAAATCTAGATTTAAAAGAAATTTTTTTTTGGTAGTTTTTGTAGGTTTTGTAGTTTTTACTAGAAAACTGGGGCTTGAGGTCAGAATGGACAGTTTTTTGATGAGAAATGTGCTATTTGCCTGGCTCTGATGATAATCTTAGTTGAGGCTGAAATGTTTTAGTCACTGGCTTTGGAATGTATTTTATACAGAGTGGGGAAGTTAATCCATAAGCAGAAAATATCTTCAAGTAATACACAAATGGGTTTGAATGCTTGAATGTCATTCACACATCAAGTCTACTACTTTTACATTTTATTTTACCCTTTCTTTCTTTCCTTCTTTTGGTACATTCTTCTTGTTTGGTTTGTTCCTTGGTTGATTCTTCTTGTTTGGTTTGTTCCTTGGTTGATTCTTGGTTGTTCAATTATAATTTATTCTGAGCTTTTTTGCATCTCCATCTCCAAGATGATACTGATTCAGAGCTGATCCACTAAAATACCTGAAAAGTACCGATTTTGGATCATGCATCTCTCACTATTCATCTTGTGTATCTGGTTTTCATTTCTTAGGAGTTTCTACTTTATTTATGATCTTTACCATCTTCCTCTCTCAGTTCTTTCCTTTTATCATTAGAAGAGTAGCAAGAAAATAATCTTAAAAACTACTTTCCTAGTTTCTATGTGAAAAAGCTACCTGATTATTTTGATTTATTTTTAATAAGCTTTATGTTTACAGGGAGTTTAAATATATACACTAGCATTGTGCTTCTCTTTAATTCCCTTTTCAAAAATAATTATTTCTAGTCTGGGTACATACTGATAGAAACTCAGAAACTGGAGGCTGTTTCAGAAATGTATCAGAATTCTGTGTAGCATCACAGTCTAGCCTGCCCTTGCCATCTGGAGAGAACATTGCACAATGTTTTAGCAGACATGAGGTTATACATTTGCTTTAAGTATAGTTTTACAGTATGCAGATTCCAGGATAAAAAAAGTGTTAATTGTTGTAAGGGGAGAGCCTAAGATATGATTTTTCCTAAAGATGTCATTAACTGTCTGTTACCTAGAGACCTGGAATTGGAGCCAGTAATTGTTTTAATCAGGAAAAAAAAAAAATTGCTGACATTCCATGTGGTGTTTAGATTTATTGTCATTGGTATTTTAAGGTTTCTGGGAAAAAAAGTCTCATTATTTCCCTATAAGCAATTTAGACCTGAATATTTTTACCTGACAAATACTTGTCTTCAAGGAAATAAGGAGTACCACTGAAATCAGTGAGACTTCTGATGCTTGCACTGAAGCATGTACCCATGTACTTCAGGAGCAAGGTCCTGCCTGGCTTGATCTTTGTTGTATTTCCTTGCTGGTACCTTCAGGCCAACAAGCATATCTGTTTCCTAACAAATGGGGTTGTTCAGCAGCTGCTGAAAATAGTTGAATATGAAGATAGAGATGCAGTGAATAGCAATGTTTTTTTTGTTGGTTTACAGCATAGCCTCTACAAAGTGAAAACAATCCACACTAGCAAAAAGTAGGTAGCTAGAGCTCACAGTGTATGTGAACAGAAATATCTAAAAGTGCAATGTTCCCTTCAAATTGTGAATCATTATGTGGTTGCCTCATTTAATGATTAATAATATACTACTTGCCTATATGGATTAATACCGTTGATTTTGTTCTAATCATCTGGAAAAGAAGCACAAATTCAATGTTTTACATTTGCCATTGAGGCGGCATTTACAAATACGTCAAATACTTTGCTGTCTTATTAGACTTCAAAATTAGAAGCAAAGCCTAAGGGTTAATATTTTTGAAGATAAAGCTTCTATATTATCATTCAGTCCTCTGCAAAACTGATTTACACATACTGTATAAAATTTATCTGGTTTCTGGTTTATTTATTTTAAAGAAAAAAATTGTACTTTATTCGGAATTGAATGCAGCAGAGCTTATGTAATTCTGACAGTTTCTGTAGTCTGTCTTAATGGGTTTTTGATTATGCTTAGCCAGATAGCTCAGTCACTGTGGTGGGATCACTTCTCTTGCTCTCAGTGCAACCCTGCTGAAGCCCACAGTGTGATACTAAGTGCAAGATGGGATGTGGAAGAGCAGGTCAGACCTCTTGTCTGGTGGTCTGTTTAGTTTTTTGGGAAAAAGTGGATGCATTAATTTGTAAATAATTTTGTTTATTAGTATCTTCCGGTAGTAATGTGTCTCAGCACTGAGTTCTTTTGCAGGCAGATTCCCTCTGAGTCCCTGATAGCTCCTTGGGTTACATTACATTGTACTGTTTGTCTTTGTCTATTTTTTTGGCTGAATTCAACTGATGTCTGTGCATTTTCTCATACAAGGCTATGAAAAATCTCGAAGCTTAAACAACATAGCTGGCTTGACAGGCAATGCTCTGCGACTGTCTCCAGTAACATCACCCTACAGCTCACCTTGTCCTCTAAGGCGCTCTCGGTCTCCCATCCCTTCCATCTTGTAAACCAGATGGCATCAATCGGCTACATAGTATTAAATCAAATACTGTTTACCACATATTGGAAATAAATGTAGCATTAAGCATAGGCTCCACAAATATGGTCTAACTCCTGCATGATACAACTCTCAGTAGTAAGAAAAGCCACTTGGGTACCTGAAGATTTTTGCCTTGGCTTTTAAAGATTACTTCAGGTAGCATTTCTTCTTTTATCTACTATATTGTCCTACTTTCCTGTGGCAATAAAAGGACAGTTAGTGGATGCTTTTGTCCATATATTCAATAAATAAGCATATTTTCAGGGAGATTTACTTAAAATAATGTGCTTCCAAGTAATTATCAGTCACTCCATTGAACCTCCATTTCTTGTGACTCTAATCCATTCTGAAGATGTCTGCTCTGAAGGGTCTGCTCATTTGCATGGACCATCCTGTCTCCATCACCTGACAAGCAGTGTTGCGGATCGTGGAGACCACAGAGGGCTCTGGATGTGTGTTCTCACTTTGTTACCATCCTGCTGAAATGAAAGCACTGATAAACTGGTCTGCATGTGGGATTGTTTTTCTGTGTTTAACTTTTTCCTTTATTTTTTAAACTATCTACTTGTTTATAAACGACTTTATTTTGCAATTAACTTATTTCGGTGCTGGATTGCTGTATCAGAGTTCTGAATGTCTCCGGTTGTTTGCACACAGATAACTGCAAAGAGGTTGTCATTACTGGTTACACGCAAGCAGAAGCCAGATCTCTTTCTTAATGGCTTGGGGAAGGCACAAAACATGCAAGAAAGGTAAACGCCATCCAGACTTGCAATTCTAAGCTAGCAAGTGCTGCTTGGTACTGTAGTATTTTCTCTACTCCAGGGTTCTTCAACATTTTCAGAAGCTGAGTACCAAGTAAAATTGAAACAATTATTGGGGGCTTTTTTTTTTTTTTTTTTTTTTTTACCATTGTAAGAGGGTAGTAGTTCTCAAGTCGGGTTTTTGACCAGCCTTATACCTCTGGCTAGTGGGCTTCAAAAATTTCTTCATTCAATGTTTTTTGAGGTGCTTTGTCCTATGTGTTGTTTGTCTGTCTGTTTTGCAACCTGTCTCCTTGTATTCTCCATCTGTCTCCATTAAAGCACAGAGATACTGTTAATATGCCCCCCTCTTTTAAGGTGAACTAAGAACACTTTTTCTCCTTTTCCCTTTTTTCCATATGGACTATACATCCATGTATAGATAGAAATATACATATTTTTCAAGTGCAGTTAGTATCATCTAGACTAACTCGTGTGCACTCCTAAGGTTTTTTGAACGGCTTTTCAGCACTGACCGGTTGCCTATTGCATCAATCTTCCTCCCAGCAACCAGCATTCATTACAATTTTGAAACTGTATCTCCTCTAGTGGCTTTTTCATTCAATACTAACCTCTGTTTATGCAACAGGACAAATGCAATGGCAAATTTGAGGTTCTGGGCTGGTGAGGAAAAATTACCCTTAAACTGTAGAGTTTTAGAACTACATGGGGAAGACCATAATGACTGAAATCTTAAGTGATCCTTGAAATTGTTGAATAATACCTGACTGTCGTGTTTTACTTTTTTGTTAGGAAAAGAAATTAAATTTATTGTTGACCATGTAACATGTTCTGTATATAGCCAAGCCCAATAGCATGACCTGCATGTCAGAATTCTTGTACAATAATGTAGTTATCAAAGTATACATTTCTGATATTTAGAGATGTACATTGATTTACTTTTGGTAAAATATTGTCAATAGAGAGATAATTGCAAACAGCTTTTAGCAAATGAATTAATATAATATCTGGTGCTGCTGTTATATTAACTACAGTGTTGTACAGAATTTATCATGGATTTTTGACTGCTGAAAAAGGGACAATGGAATTTAGCCATACCAAGGACTGTACTGGAAAGAGACTGCTGCTGCTGAATGGGCCCTGATAAACGACTCACACCTTGAGGAGGTCACTGAGACTTTGCGTGCGAAGCAGAGCTTGTTAAAGAAGATGAAAGACCGCTCATAATTACTGCTGCCAGAGGAAGGGGTGACTAGTCACTGTTGAAGAGTCAGTGTAAATAAAACGTGTGTGCATGGAAAATCAGTTTTTATCTATATCAAGGAAAGCTGAATTCATGTCATCATTGCTAAGGTTCCATGCAAAGACCCCCACCCCTGTGTTTATTATTCCTGGTTCCTGCAGTAAGCTGTGCTGTGGATCATACAAAGACACACGCTTAATAATGATAGTGATGTAAACTACATCTGTCTTGACTTCTGTCATACTAATGGCATATATTGCAAAAGTCACAAATTTGAGCAGAGTAGGTTTACATAAGTCCTTGCTTTCTCAGTTTGCCATGACCTAAATTGTTATGAATTGTAGTGTACATGCCAAGTCCTAAGTTTACTTTTCACTTTGATAACATAAATGTGACTGCAGACAAACATCACTAACTTTGTTCACAGCACAAAGTCTTCTTTCATTGTTACCTCAAACTATAAGTATTATCAGAAATAAAATTCTGGCAGCAAGAATATTTTGTGATTTTTTTTTAAATTCAAAGTGTTGCAAACCCAACATCAATAAATATAAAAATTGTATTAAAATTATATTCTACAAATGTATATTTTACATAAAATATATATTCTTTGATAAGTTATTTTCTGTGATTTTTGTGGTAAATGAGTCTAGTCTATTCTATGTTTATGAGACATTGTAGTGCTACGATGTGGTAATTATGTTCTCTCCATCCTATTCAGTGGGAAATTCTCCAGAATCTGTTTTGTCACCCTGGTGTCCCGATTGTAGGGACCTGTCCCAGTTGCGAAACTCTGTATCGTGGAACTTCTGTGAACATGTCAAGGTGCATGCACAATCCTGGTGGAAACCAGTGGAAATGTAATACCTGAATTGGAGAATAAAAGGCAAAAGACCTGGGGAGGAACTTGGAACATATCTTCTGAACTGGCTCATGAGCTTTCTTTAGCTGTATCGGTCCCCTGCCTGCTACTGGCCATCCCAGTTCTCAAACCAGCCTCCTGGAATGCCTGAGGAGCTAACTCAAAAGCTAGCATGAGCTGGCTTCTGCAACAATTGAAAATTTATCAGCTTGTTAATGACCTGTGCCTCGTGTAGAAATTTCTGTCAGGCTAGGTATTTTAAGTCTGGTGGGAGTTTTTTTGCATCCTGGTGTGAAGTCAAACCTAAAAAAGGAGGTGATAAATGGTTGCTTAAAGCTTCTAATATACTGTATTTGTGGCAACCAGAAATCCCCAAATACACAAGCAGATTGTCTGAGAGCAGTGAGATAGCTAGTACAGTTTTACAAATTATCTGATAGGCTGTAACACAGTGTTTTGGCATATGTGCTGTAATGTAAGAAAGGTTCCAGAAAACTGGATAAGAAAACAGGTGTTCAATTTTAGAAAATGCGTTACAGCGTTATGTCAGTAAAGCTCACTGTGCTGTTTGCCCAAGGGTTAAGAGTTGCCTGTACTGTGACTGTGAGCTGTACCCAAGGGAGGAAGAGGTGTAGTGGTTAGCCAGCACAAGGCTCACAGCCAGCCCCAGTCACCCAGGGTGATGTCTGCCCCAAGCACCGAGAGAGAGGTGCTTGGCTTTCCTCAGTGCTACACAGGGACAGTGATGATCCCCAGATGGGATGCAGACAAGGGGGTGCATTTTGTTGGTCGAGGTTATGGGGAAACACTGATGGCCAGATGGTGTCTGACATCTTCCACTGTCTCTGGATGATAAGGAGCCTGGACGGATCTCCACCAACACTGGACTTTGAGTCCAGAGTATCCTGGACCTGGTATTATTTTCCTACTAGAGAACCAAGCCCATGTTTAAGTGCTTTCTTTTAAAACATACCTGGAGGACAAGCTGATGGTAAGTCTGGTAACTCTTGACGTGTTTTGAAACTACAACCCAACTCTGACTATTCTAAGAGGAAAAAGCTGACTTAACCACCAGCACCCTTCTGTTCCTCACCTATTTCTGGGCCCAGAAAGGGGTGAAAGGGCATTTTTATGAGAGGTGGGACACCAAGGTTTAATTTTCTCAGGCTGAGGAAGGCTTTGAACCTAAACCTCCCTCTTCAGGGTAGTGCAGTGTCTCAGATACAATGTAAAGATTGGGATGCATGTTCTCATTCACTTCCATTTCTGCCCATCTTTTAAAGGAAAGTAGATGCAATGATGAGAAGCAAAATTGCACCAGGAGAGAGGAGTTCTGGTGCAAGTAGGAAGATGCTGTGTGGGTATTCTGGGTATCAAATGCCCACCAAAGGGTGCTCATGGCCATCTCTGGGCTTGACTTAGGAGTCTAAAAACTTATTCAATTCTTGTTTAAGTATTACTTAAGGGTTAGAAGTCAAAACTAGAAAACAGCTGTGAATTTACAAGCAATGCATCTGCTAAGACAATTTAGGAGAAACTGTTACTTATTCGTCTTTTAAAATTGTGAAGCCAAGATGTCAAAAATGAGCATCCTTTTGAAAGATGAGCTAATACAACACCAGGGTTTGTGCAGAGATCAAAAGCTGTGATGTATTTTGGAGATGAGCAGATTATGGGATGTTTGGACTTTGAAGGCAGCTATTGTTCTTATGAAGCCTCATTCAGCACTGAGAAAGTGTTGTTGCAGCAAATTTTGAGACATTGCATTATGAGTTTTTTTAGGTGTGTACTGCAAACTGGTGCCAGAATTGCTAAGAAGCATGCAGCTAATGATAATTAATATAATCCTATATAATAAGGGGGCTTTCTCATGTTTGAAAAAATTGATATTCATAAAAGTTCTCTTATAAAAGGTCTGGATTGAATTAAAGCTTCTAAAAGACAGGGAAGTTTAAGGAATCTCTTCAGATGGGTAACTGAAAACTATAGGGGAGAGGGATCAATCTAATATGAGCAAACTTGCCAGAATAGTTATGTGAAATATGAATTTTAAAAGTCATGAATGAATTAACTATATGAAAGTGAGCAGGAGTCAGATAAAGGAAATTGGAATGGAAAACTGCTATTAGAAAGAGAAAATTAATTTATTAATATGCTGTATTACAAGCAATGGCTTGAACAATTCCATAATAGAGCCTTTGAATACTGACTGAGTGAGAAGAAATTACAAAAAAAAGCAGAAAGGTTTCTACCAGGTCAAATTTATCAGAATTATTAGTATTTTTATAATACATTATCTTCCTCTTGGAAATAAACTTTATTTATTTAAATTCCTAAGAGAAAAGTTATTTTAACAATGGTGGGTTTTAAAATTCAAGAGTTGGCTTGCGAGCAAATACTGAGCTGTTAGTGCTGGGTGTTGGGTACCTAGCTGGTGTGCCATTATGAGCATTTCTCTCCTACTTCAGTGAATATCCCTAGGACATATTGAAATTGCAGAGGTGTCTGATTTCTAGCCCCAGAGTCAGGGATCTGTCACATGCTGTCTCCTGGGAAGGCTGGGATGCTCTCCAGCCAGGCGTGAGTGGTGCAGAGCTCCTGACTCTGCAGCACAGCCTGCAGAAGCATCCCGAGTTTGGTCTAGGTGCAGCTTCTCATTGCCTTCTGGCAAAACAGGCACGATTCCCTCACCCTCCACAACCTCCTCCCCAAAACCCAGTCCTCTGTCACTTGCATTTTTTTATTACCAGCATGTTGATGAACAGCTGACAGATTTCAGATTCATGCTTTCACAGCTTCACATTTGCAGATGGCAATATTCTAGCATATTTTAAAAAAACTAAGTTGGAGGTGGACACTTTTTTGAAAATTTGGCACAAAAATGTTATGCATTTAATTTAATATCTCCTATATTATTTGCAGGTGGAAGACTGGCGATCAGTTTAAACCCAGGGCACAGCTAGGCTATTCTGAAACTTTTAGGATGTGTCCTTTTTATGTTCTGCATCTGGTTAGAGCATTGCTGCATTTTCCTATCACATGAAGCTCTCAGTTTTCTCCTCAAATGGGATTTTGAGATAAGATACTAGAGCAAGTCAGAGAGTACTATTTTAAATTGGATTTGGAACTGGCTTCCCTGGGAAGTGGTGGGATCACCATCCCTGGAGGTATTTAAAAGACATATAGATGTGGCACTGGTGGATATGGTGAACAAGGCAGTGCTGGGTTAACAGCTGGACTCGATGATCTTAGAGGTCTTTTTCAAGTGTAGTAATTCTGACTCTTATAGGATTGTAAACATGAATTGTACTATGCAGAGAGAGATAGTCCCTGGGAAATACTGAAGCTGTAAAAGATGACTGTAATGACTCTTTGTTTTGCAGAATGGTATGGGCACCTTTTTTAAAACACGGAAAGCAGACAATTTTTTGTTGGCCTCCTCAGAGCAGTATTAGACTTGAATAAGACAATGAACTACTAAAAGTGAAAAGTGGAAGTTGTTCTCCTTGACCTTATGACAGCTTATTTGCAAAAGTAGCAAGATCAGAGTTATTGAAGAAGCCTGGCCTTTTCAGTGAAACAATGCAAAACTCCATCAATTGAAGAATACTAAACTGTAGCTACATTATCCTATTAAGCTGATGCTAAATATAGAAAGGATTTTCAGTTCCTTACAGGGATTTCCTTGCTTGTGACTAAATGCAGCACCAAGGTTTTGAGAAAATCTTATTTTCTTCATGCCTTTGAATGTATTTGGTACAGTGAAGTTTGGCAGTCTGATTGTCTTCAGATGATGCCAGTGTTTACATGCAATTTTTGCATTTTTCTAGCACAAAAATAGGTTTTTTTCTGAACTGGAACACTGGAAAGGGGGGCAGAGGGAGCACTGAACAAAATGGTTTTCTTAAATTCTTATGAAATCTGCCACGTAAAGCAGTGAACACATAGAAATAAAAATACACAGCTTTCCCTATGTCAGTGTCATAACATTGACTGTAACTCTTACATTTCTGAAACTCCTCTTAGTTTTGTTTGGAAATCACAGCAACAAAATTTATTTAGTTACTGCTGTTTATAACTTCTACTTCAACTTTGAGAATTATGCTTTAAATCTCTGAGTAATGGAGCAATTAGAGACCTTAAGAGCATGAGGACTGTGCTCAGAGAAGAACACGTGCACAAATTTAATAGTTTCATTTGTAATTACTAGAGTGTTTCCTCAATACAGAACATTATCTGAACAAGGTCCTAATGTCAAATAATCTCTCTAACATTGCAAAACTGCCCTTGGCTTACTTAAGCAAGACTAGGTCTTGGGAAGCAACTGGCTTATGGCATGGGCATTTCCAGGACATTTATCACCAACATCATAGAACCATAGAATATTTTAGGTTGGAAAAGACCTAAGATCATTGAATCCAACTGATTACACAGCAAGTCCAAGTCCAGTACTAGACTAGCTTTAAGTGCCACATCTACACATCATCTAAAACTGCGGAGTGTTTGGCAGCACCTCTGCTCTGTGCACACCTGGTGCAAACTCTAAGCAAGCTGCTTGGCTTTTTTTTTCTCCAGAGATAAAGAAGATGGATGGTTTATGTCTAGAAACTGATGTTACCTTTCTCTTACATGCCTCTTTTATTATGGGTCAAATTGATAAATTGATCTTTGTGAGTGTCTGTTGACAGAAAAATATCCAGATCTGTCTCTCTCCTCATGCAGGGACTGTAACATGAAGTAAAATGGCCCTGCTCCAGTACCTCTCACAGTGTTTTGCTTGCTCTTGCAGATGTGCAGTGCCAAGACATGGACATTTCCCCTCCACTGCCTCAGAAACAGGTTCATTTGCAGCACTTGTGTTCTTCTGAGAAAGGAGTGTGCAACCAGAGCCTGCCTGGGAGGCAGCTCATGCTCAGGTGCACATGAGATGAGCATGTTCCCACACTGACTCCTGAGCTTGCTCCTCATTTTTTAGTGTTGCAGGAAATCTCTGGTGAAACCATCCTATCATGTGAACTCCCAGTGTACTTCAAGAACTCTTAGTGGAAGAGTATT